ACTTTCATACTGGAACCAATATACTGTTTCTCTGACCACTCTGCCACCCCATTCCAAAGTAATAGGAAAAGCTTCTGGTAGATTGTCATACTCTTTACCATCCCAAAAATGTTTGAATCCACAACCACATTTGCCACCAGTGGACCTCGAATTAGTTCTGTCCCCATCCAAGTACACAATAGAACCATCTCCTCTGACCCTCCGCACAGATGTGCCATGGCACCAATTACAAGCTGTTAGGCTACTCAATCCATAGTCTGGTACCAAAACATCTTTCACTGAATCATACGAGCAAACCAAATTGTTCAAGGGAAAGCTATAATTTTTGTCAGGCCTCAGCTGTCCATGGGTACTTTTTGCCAGGTTATACAGTTTCCCTCCCGGAGCCAACCACTCTGGAGGAACATGAAGTTCAGAAAGGGCACCACAGAGCAAACATTTGTGAAGGCGATTATCCATTACTGCTTTTTTAGCAGCTGCTGTGACTTCTTCAGGCTGAACTCCTATCACCCCAGTCCTCCTGTAGAAATATTGATGAACATCAGCAACCAAACTAGGGTGGATACCATGTTTGTCCATAAAGACTTCTTCCATAGCAGCAACAAGCCTAAGTAAGTATTTATCCTGCAGACTCCTGTCTCCTCCAATAACACAACCACCATCCTCCTCAAGTTTGATGTACTTTTTAATGAGGTCCTGAGGCACACCCCATGCTTTAGGAAGCAAATTCATAGGCAGTTTGGGCAAAGCAGCCCCTTTTATGCCTACCAAGGGGATATAATGGTTTCTACCAGAGCTACTCCATGCAATACAGATTGGTTTGTTCAAATGACCATCTCTCCCGGTGCACTTCTCTGCAGGGATGAGCCCAGGCAGAAAGGTGGCTGAATAATCACCAGAGCTTCTCATGCCACTGAGAGAATCTAACAGAATAATAGGGCGATGTAACACATTTGCAAGGCCAAATATGTGGATGTTCCTCAGACCCAAGGGAACACCCTCAGGCGGTACAAACAGAGGGTCACACTCATTGATAATGTCTTCCCACTCAGCAGCATCAATGAAGTCATGGAACAGGGCTTGATATCTGGCCAGGTGCTGCTGAAAGTGCTGTTTCAGATTCTCTCTCAAGGCATGCCAGAAGAGCTCCCGGCCTACTAGAGCCCGGGACACAGCATGCACCAGGCAGTGTCCATCCCCGTCCACATGCACTGGAATGAGGCATTCCTGACTTTTATTGGCCCGCTTGATGTCCTCAAGGGTGTCATGCAAATATAGGAGGCTTCCGGAGCGGTCCTTGCCATAGCCCACCGTGTTAACATGCTCTGGTTCGATGAGGAAGGCGCGGTCACCCAGTAAAGCGCAATCGAACAGTTCGCCCTGGTTCATGTCCCGGAGAAGCTTAGCCCGGCCCGTCTGTTTGTCCATTCCATAGCGAGCTAAAATGGGCGACAACAATTTGCAGTGGTAGTTGGAGAGGCCCATCACCTTTACCAGTTCCGTGGTCTTCTTGGGCGCCCCTGTAACCCCCAGCAGCGCGTTCCGCAGCAGGTTGTGTAGCACTACGTCGGGGTCGGTCACCTCCTCCACCCCCAGCAGCTGTTGTTGCTCGTGCCGCTGTCCGCACTCGGTACACTCGATGCTGACAGAACCGGAGGCCGGGAAGAACAGACGCGCCTGGCACTTCGGATCTGGGCAGCTCCCGGAGAGGATTCTCCGGTCTCTCCGCTTCGAGAGCACCCCCGGGGCAGTCGCCGCCGCGGCCAGGGACGACGGGGTGTGCGGAGCCTCAGGGGGAGGCGGCGGCGGCGGCAGCGGAGGCGGCGGCGGCGGCTGAGACATAGCTCTCGGCTCTCGAGCCTCGTTCCGCGTCCCAAGCGACCCTCAAAGGCTCATAGCCCAGACCCCGACCGGCCCAACTCGGTCTAGTGCAGGCCCAGGGAGAATCACTTTCCTTTCCCTACCAGCTCCTCCTCCTCCTAGGCGAAGGCGGAAGCGCCGGACGTTGTTTCTCTTCTTACTTCTCCACTGCCGGAGCCGTTGCCCCGAACGTAACGGCCACCACCCTACCCCGCACTCACACTCACTCACTCACTCTCGCTCTCTCTCCTCAGACACACAGACACACACGCCCTCACTGAGAGTGCGCAGGCGCAACTTCCGCTCTGCCCTCTGGGAATTAGAGTCTTCCAGCCTTTCTCTTGGCCATCGGATGCTAGAATCTTAGGCTTATAAGAACTACAAGTACCGAGAGGCCAGGCGGTTCAGCGTCCGCTGAGAGGAGGAAGAGGAAGGCAATAGGAAGGAGGCAGATGGAAAATAGTCACTCACGTTGCCTGCCGGGAGTTGTAGTTTTATCTGGAACGTCTTTGCCCTCTCCCCCGCTCTGGGGCCCAAGCAAAATAGTGTGAGAGACCACCTTTCCTAGGATGCACTGCGGTGCGTCTAGCTTCACTTCCTCCTTAGGCGAAGGGAAGGATCCAGGGCAGCTTGCTTGTTAAAAGCAGAATTAAAGGGTATGGGTATCGGAAGCAGAGGGTCTGAAGTTCACGACTTCTAGAAGGGGAGGGCAGTGAAAGGCTCTCAGTGAAGAAGGTACAGTAAATAAATGTCCAGGGATATGGTGGGCTGGGAAGTTGAATGAAATGGTCTTCCCTAGGCTGGCGGTCATAAGAGAAAAGGGGAAAAATAGTGGATTGATTCTCGGAGTGTTTCTTAATGTCTTTTCTTCTGCCACACTTTTATTCTCATTCTTCCCGCTATTCCAAGCCACTGAGGCGCCTACGCCCCGTTTTCTGCCTTTTCCCCCCTCTCTACTGAGGGTCGCTAAGGCGCCATTTATTTCCTCCTTCCCTGTACGTCTTTGTAGTTTACAGTACAAATAATACCTCCTCCCCTCAGAAGAATATAAAAACCATCATTAAGTTCTTAATGTATGTCTGTTATAGCCATACACGATATCATTTTCTCTTCGTAATAACTTTGTTAGGAAACACGTCCAGAAAAGAAATGACTTGATCAAGTTCACAGTCTGTAAGTGACTGGATAGGTACAAATCTAGATCTGTACCCATTTTACAGACAGAGACATAGGCAGGAAAGGTTAGGCCAGTATTAATAAAATAGTAAGAAACTTCTGGTTCCTATTATAGTTATTGACAAAGAACATCCAGCCTAAGAAAAAGTCTTATAAGAGTTTATGTAAGCCAAACTGACACAATTGCTGGGAAGCAATATCTCAACAGACTTAAGAAAAAGATCCGGGGAATGGCAGTTTTTAGCCTATTTTAAACTTTAGAATAAAAGGAGGAGGTGTAAGAAGGGTTATATGAAATTCATTAGTGGTAGATTAGAGAGGTGGGAGAAAGCAGAGTGGGAAAATCTCTGAGATTGGAGAAAAAGTAAATTAGAGAAACACATCTTTTACATCGCAGGGTACAGGATCGTTAACATTTACAGCGCATAGAGATGGCATGTGGGCAACAAGATAACAATGTGGTCTCATGTTCTAGTGCAGGCGGTTGTGCCTTTGAGGGGTCTGGAAAAGAAAATTAGTCGGACACTTCAAAGGTATGTTATCCTAGATGCGCAAAGGCAAGAGGCAATTTCAGAGGTAAGGACTGACCTTTGTCAGGGAAGAAGCTACAGGCCTAGGACAGGACTGCCCACCATGACCTGCTTTAAGTTAGGAATTTTTATGTTCAGACCACCCCGTGTGGTTACTTTGGTCTGAGTCTGTAAGACCAGACATGCAGGCCTCCCCTGAACTTGTCAGGGTTGGTATGTGGCCTCTTTTTATCCACATAGTGCGCATAATTTGTTCACATATATCATCTGATCCTCACACCAGTCCTGTGACACTTTTACAGTTGACTTCATTTATAGTTACAGAAAGACTGGAAAGAATTAAGTGACTTGTCCAAGGTAAAATCCCCAGTGTATCTCAGCCTCAGAGAGTGCTTTTCACAGTACTTCCTCTACAAAATAAAAAAAGCTGTTAAGGTCAGACCTTTGTTAAGCCTCAGGGTCTCCTCTTAGTGACTCCAGGAGCTGTAAGGAACCCATAAAGAGGTGAAAGAGCTTTATTTTATTACTTGTGTGGTATGGAACTGTCTTTTCATGCAAAACACATCCATATGTTAATTAAAAGCTAGTATTTAAATTATTGTACAGTCCCTTTCACTTGTCATTCTGGAAATTTTAAAATCTTAGATAAGTGAACTTCCTCAAAATTTCTGAAACATTTGGCACAAAATAGATAACAACAGTGCAGTCCATGAGATTATTTGAGTCTTCTGTAGCTGCCAAGGTAACTGTTTACCTGATTAGGTTTTTTGAGTAAGCAGAATTAGATGCTTGAAAGGAACCATCTGTAAGATAGACACTCCTAAAGAGCCTTAATACTGACTTTCACCTAAATATTGTCTATAATTTTCTTGAAAAGAAATATGTTTGGAAGAGAAATCCTTTAAATGTTAATTATTTCCTTACCCAAGTCTACTTTATCCATGCAAAAATAATGTTACCTTTAAACAAGATAGGTAATAGTACTTATCTCAAGGGGGATAATTTTCAATAATTTTTTCTTAAAGAATTATTTTATGAAGGAAAAGTTGTTTACATCTGTTTTAACAGTAGTTTGGTGGTAATTGCTTAAATGTTCTTGGAACTGATTTTTAATTGAGTGTAAGTTGAAAAATTGGATATGTCCTTTAAATGGAAATTATTTTCTTCCATGACTGAGAAGTTATACCGGCAGTAGAATTTTATTTTTCTCATATGGAATTCAAAGAATTGAATTATTAACCCCTCGGAGCACATGAAAGCTGACAGCAGTGTGTGCAATTCAAACACTGTCATGCATTTTTAAAAATTTTTTTTATTAATTTGAGAGAGAGAGAGAGAAGCATCAATGTGAGGGCGAAACATTGATTAGCTGCCTCTTGCACATCGCCTGCTGGGGACTAAGCCTGCAACCGGGCATGTGCCCGGATCAGGAATCGAACCAGCAACCTTTTGGTGCAAGGGACTATGCACAACCAACTGAGCCACACAGGCCAGGGCTGTCATGCATTTTTATGTCTTAACTTCACCAAGCCAAATTGTCCTTATTGGTGATACATATGAACAGTGAAATAGATTTTTTAAATTGCACCTGAATGTCATTATGAATCGTAAATAACCATTTCCTTTTCTGCTGAAGAAATGGGCAGCCTTTCTCTGGTTTGTCAAGCACAACCCACCTGACTGATCCAGTGTTCATTTCCCTATATGGAACCTTGATCAGGTAGAAACATTCTTCCCAAACTAAATTTGATATTTAAACCCATTTGTTACTATAGTTCTTCTAGTTTTAAGAATTGTACTTTTGAAGGGGAAAAATAGAAATACCCTGGTGTAAAGCATATTTAATGGGGGGAGGTAAGTTTATAAGCAATTCTAGAATTAAATTAGATCATTTAACCTGAAAGTCGCTTCCTTAATGAATCTGTAGATGCAGGCAAAGTTCACAGAGTAAGAAAGCTAACATAAATGAAGAAAGGGGCCTCACAGACATGGACAACCGTGTGGTGATTGCAGGGGTGGAGGGGGATGGGTGGAGGTGGTAGAGGGCATAGAAGGGATAAAAGGTGATGGAAAAAAATAAAATTTTAAATAAAAGAATAAAATTTCTAAAAATTCAAATAATAATAATAAAGAAAGGGGCAATGATATTAACCATGCCAAGTTCAATTTGTGAATTAATTCTTTACGGCACTTAGAAGGCATGAGTACCTATAAAGTAAGAAGAAGAAATTTTATTAGGACAAAATATGACATACTGTTTCTTATAAGGCCATAGGAGTGCTGAAAGCTTTTAATCTAATTATATGAGATACACATGCTTCCTTCATCTTCCTCCAAAATGCCATGATCTTAATTGCCTATTAACTTTCATAACATCTTTGTGGGATGCCTAATAGTGTTTTTTCACAATTTCTAGTATGGCATTTCTAAACTTTCTGGATTGCTTTTAACCTAGTAAATGTAAAAGCTAAAGGCATCCACTTAACATAAAAACAAAAGGCATCATTGTTTTTTTACCTTTTATATTAGAAAAGGAAGGGAATTAGAACTTTGGGGATTGTTTTAAGTCAGCCACATTCTTTCTCCTATGAAATATACATCTGTACTAAGAGTTGACTGTGTTACTCCAGATCCCTACCCCAGACAATCAGATGTCGAGTTACAAGTTTATGTTGAAGGTTGGGATGGATGTGGGAAGGACTTAATTACTGAAGTAGATATTATAGGAACTTAAAGGGATGCAGAAGACCATCCCTATCCCAAAGGAGCTCATTCTAATAGAAGAAATAGCCTGATCTAAACTGTTCATAAATACAAGTAGAATAAAGCATATAATCAATCAAAGTAATACAGGAAAATAAGTATCACAAATTTTATGAAAAAAAATGTATTGAGGGCTTATTATAAGGCAGGTGCTTTTAAGTATATATCTTAAATCTTTAAACAATCCTGTGAGATAGGTAGTATTGTCCTTATACAGATGAGAAGATATAACTGAAAGGTTAACATTATTATCATTATTACCACCCAGCTAGCAAGTCGCAGAGCTGGGCTTCAAATCAAGATTTTCTTCTATGTTCAGCCCTCTTCCCACTATCTCACAACTGCTTAGTGATTTGAGAGAAAATTAGCCAAAAAGTGAGTGCAAACTGGTGGCCAGTGGCCAAATTTGGCTTAGAAGCGTTTTTGTTTGGCCAGCAACTTTTTGTTTTTTAATGTGAACATCTTTGGGCAGTGGCCACACTTCACTTTTAAGGTTGTACACCAGTCCCCCTTGACACAAATTACCTGCCTGGCTTCAAAAAGCATTTGTACTTTCTGTAGCAGGCAGTAACTGGGGACAGAGAGGAGCTATACTCAAAAGTATCATGGAGAAGTTATATCCAAGGGTGGAAGGAGGACTTTATGAACAAGAATTGCAGAGAGTATTTGAAGAAGAATGATTAGCAGTATTATATAAAGGTGAAAGAGGTCAAATACAAAGCTAGAAGTTATGCCTTAGCATGATAGTTCTCAAACTTTAGTAAGCATCAGAATCAAATGTAAGGCTAAAACAGATTGCTGGGCTCCACCCCAGAATGAATGCATCTGGGATGAAGCCTGAGAATTTGCATTTCTAGCAAGTTCTTTGGTACTGCTGGTGTCGGTCCAAGTATTACACTTTGAAAGGGCACTTTGGGGGAAGGGCTTACGCCAAGGTTTTGCTTCTATGTTTCTGTTGTTTTAAGTACAAAAGGAATTGCTTGACATAGAATATTTAAAAAAGAAATAAAGAAGAAAATTAAATTAGTCTATCATCAATTAGAGGTTACAGGTTTTTAACATTTTTGATGGATCTTTCCATTTCTTTTTTCTAAGAAAAAAGAAAGTGTACTTTTAAAAAAGACTGAAGTTGTATCATCATTATCATAGTTGTTAACACTGAATTGGGCATCTACTATGTACCAGGGTCTTTACAACATATATTTACTTAATCCTGATAATAGCCTTATGGGCCAGGTACTATTATTATCATTCTTATTTTACAGATGAGGAAACGGAGCCACAGAGGGGTTAAGTAACTTGCTCAGTATTTCACTGCTAGTAAGTGGCGTAATTATTATTTAAATCCAGGCATTCTGGCTCCAGAGCCTGTATGCTTAACCATTGTATTGTACTGACTTATTCTATACTGACTGTCATACTATAGTATAGTTCATAGTGTTTTTAACCTGTATCGTTTAATCATATCATGAACAATCTTGATAACATTAAATATTCTTGTCCAACATTTAAAATAAAAGCCTACTCTTTTTCTTCCCTTAACAGGCATTCCTCATTTTACTGCATTTTGCTTTATTTTGCTTCACAGATACTACATTTTTTACAAATTGAAGGTTTGTGGCAACCCTGCATGGAGGAAGTCCACCAGCCCTATTTTCTAACAGCATTTGCTCACTTTGTGTCTTTGTCTACTCCTGGTGAAGATACTGTGAAGATTGTTGAAATGACAACAAAGGATTTAGAATACTACATAAACTTTGTTGATAAAGCAGCAGTAGGGTTTGAGAGGATTGGCTCCAATTTTGAAAGAAGTTCTCCTGTGGGTAAAATGCTATCAAACAGCATCACATACTACAGAGAAATCATCTGTGAAAGGAGTCAGTCAGTGCAGCAAATTTCTTTATTGTCTTATTTTAAGAAATTGCCACAGCCGCCCATCCTTCAGCAACCACCACCACCCTGATTAGTCAGCAGCCATCACATTGAGACAACCCCCCATCAGCAAGATTATAATTCACTGAAGGCTCAGATGAGGGCTGGCATTTTTGAGCAAAAAAAGTATTTTTAACTTTAGGTATATATTTTTTAGACCTAATATCATTGCACACTTAATAGACTACAATATAGTATAAACATAGCTTTATATGGACTGGGAAACCATATAATTCATGTGACTTGCTTTATTGTGATATTTGCTTTATTGTGATGGTTTGAAAACAAACCTGCAATATCTCTGAGGTATGCCTGCAGTATGTTTCAAACATTCAAAAGTGTCCAGCAAAATAATACTTAAAATATTCATGCACCCACTACTTGGTATAACAAACGTTAATATTTTAGCATATTTGTTTTAGAATCCCCCCTTCTGAAAAAACAAAACAAAAACCAAACATATACATTTAGTAAGACTACGATTTTAAGGTTTAATTTCACTTAAACCTCTGTAGTGGCTGAAGAGCATTCTGTATTATGGCTGTGCCAGGCAGGATTCATTTAACCAGTCCCACAGTGTTAGACATTTGGTTCATTTTCAATACTATAAATATAAAAAATATTTCTATACATTTCTGATTATTTCTTTAGGGCTAAATCCTACTGCTTTGGTGGATTGAAGAATATCAATGTTGTAACATATTTTAAAATTATCAACCAATACATAGTTTTACCAAGTTAATCTCTATATTGAAGGTATTTAGTCAACTCTTGCCAATAATGGATATTATTTTAAAGAAATATGCTAATTTTACAGACCCCAATTTAGACAAATAGTACCTCTCATTATGGTCTCTAGTTTTATGAGTGTGCTTGAAAAGGAATTGATGCTTACCCATATTTTCTGGTAGTTTATGGAGGGTTTTTTCCCCCATTTAATGCTTTAGTACAGCTGTTACATATTTTTGTATGTGATGTGTAAGAGAGGTTCAATTTATTTATCTATTTATTTTACATTGCAAAATACCAGTTGTCCAAAAATCTTGCTTTAAATATGGTTTTGGTTTTGTTTCCAGGTTCAGAATCCTTCAGATCAACTTACCAGTAAGTTCATCATGTTAAACAGATAAACGCAGCTGAAGTAGGGCAAGAGTTATTTCAACCTGCCAGCATCCCCTGCCCTCATTCCTCCCTTCCCACAGAAGCTCCAGGGGGTACTTTGGAAACCATTGGGAAAATTCATCCTCTCATATATGACTTGAAATGCCACATCTGTAATATGCTGCAGTAAAATTTTTACTTATTCCAATTATTTTTCTATTTTTTTACCAATCTCAAACTTTAATTTATTGAGCCTAAGAACTTTCTATTATAACAAAAGAAGAAATTGAAACATCTAATAAGTAAAATAACAACATGGGGTCTTTTGGGGCTTGTAAAATTAGCATATTTTTTTAGAATAATACCCATTATTGGCAAGAGTTGACTAAATACCATCAATACAGAGAAGATTAACTTGGTAAAATTATGTACTGGTTGATAAGATGTATGGAAATATGGAAATATTTTTTATATTTATAGTATTAAAAATGAACCAAAGGTTTAACATTTTGGGACTTGTTAAATGAATCCTGGCACAGCCATAACACAGAATACTCTTCAGCCATTACAGTGATGTTCTGAAAAGAAGAAAATGTACCATATCAAGCACTTTAATTATATTGTCTTGCTTTAAGCCTAACAGTATGTCTAGATGAGGGTATTATTATTCCCATTTATAGATGAGAAAACATAGAAGTAAAGTTCAAACAACTGGTAAAGTAGTGTTGCTGGAATTCAGCTCACGTCTGCTCTTAATTCTTGTTCTTAATCACTGTCCTACTGATATGGGGAAATACTTATTTTTTTACTAAGTTATTGTTTTAATGCCATTTGACATTAAATAAACAAAACCCTTCCTCCTATTTGTAATCACTTCGTCCTTCCAAAGTTAGCAGTGCTTGGCAATTTCCCCCCCAAATGAATCTACTTTTATATTTTTTTTAAGTTGATTTTGGAAGTATTGAATGCCTGCTCTAAGAATTCAAACAATACATAAGATTATAAAGTAACTGTACCTTTAATCATAAAATATATTTCTGTATATGATTGGAAATACTTGTGGGCTCTGTCTTATGTTCCATCAATTCTCTCTCTTCTTACTCTAATGTCAGCTTTATAGGCCCTGGTTGGAGATGGAGACAGACCAGAAAGGCAAACTGAGTGGAGGGATGTAGGTCTGGATGCTAACTTTAAACACAGAAGAGTCCACTTGTAGGTGGTGCAGCATGGTGGTTAGAAGTGCTGGTTCTGGAGCCTGACTGGCTAGATTAAGTCCCAGCTTTTGAATTTGGGTAACTTGTTTGTTAACTTGGTGCCTCAGTGTCTTCGGGAAGTTAAGGTGGTCATTGCACCTACCTCATAAGATTGAGGTGAGGAATAAATTAGTTAATGCATGTAAAGTGCTTAAAACAGTGTCTGGGACACTGTTTTGTCCCAATCGTAAGTGCTCAGCCCTTAGCTATAATTGTCAGGATGATGATGATGCACAGGTGCAGAGATGGGGGAAAAAGAAGAAAAGTAACTTAGGAATGCTAACAGTGCCATGTACTCACATGATCTCCCCATTTGCTCTCTCTGAGTTAGATACTGTCATCATTCCCTTTTTATGCAGACGAGGAATCTAAAATTCAGGGAGGTTACATATGGAAGCAGAATGAATCATTAGACTCATTTCAAGGACTAAGAACAAAATAAATATTGAAAGCCACTGGCCAGGAGATAGCAAAATACTGAGGAGTGAGATGAAAAACAGGCCTGCAGAATCCTACCACCCTTTAGGACCAAAGGAGCAGTGTTCATGTGTGTGTGTGTGTGTGTGTGTGTGTGTGTGTGTGTGTGTTCACTTTAATCCTCAGCCGAGGATATTTTTTCCATTGCTTTTTAGAGAGAGTTAAAGGGGAAGAGAGAGAAACACCGATGTGAGAGAGGACATCAATTGGTTGCCACCCACACGCCCCAACCGGGTCGGGGAATGCAGCCTGCAATCAAAGTACATCGCCTTGGCCAGAATCAAACCTGGCACCCTTCAGTCTGCAGGCCGAAGCTCTTAACCACTGAGGAAAACCAGCTAAGGCCAGGGGGCAGTGTTTTAACGATCAGGGCTGGTGGTGTGCCCAACCTGGTATCAGGAAACTGTGCTTTGGGAATCCAACCTTTTATGCTAGTGTATTTTCAGTAAACATTTTCTGTTTTCCCTAGTCTATACAACAACTATTTCTGAATTATCAGTCTATTTGATTTGTACTTTGAGAGAGCAAAAAGGAGCCCTGGCCAGGTGACTTGGTTGGAGAGTTGTCCCCTACCCCAAAAAATGTTGCGGGTTCAATTCCCAGTCAGGGCACATACCTAGGTTTCAGTTTCGATCCCTGGTTGGGCATGTACGAGAGGCAACCGGTTGATGTTTCTCTGTCTCTCACTCTTCTACCTCTGTCTCTGAAATCATTAAGTATATCCTCGGATGAAGATAAAAATTTTAAAAAAGGAAAAAGGAATCTGTGGCCATCTTCTGGAGCTTTCAGGATGAACATGTCAGTTAGACACCAGGTGAATTGGGCATCAAATGTCAGAAGCCCAAGAGGGAGAAGAAACACGGAGGAAAAGCCTCTTCCCCAAGAGGCTTTTGGAGTATTCTCTGCTCTAACCTTGGAGGGCTTTAAACAGTGTTCCTGGAGGATGGCCTTTCACTTACTCATCTGTCCAGCATGACTCATCCCCAAGAGTGTTGAGTAAGTGGAATTTTATGGTATTTATGTTTTTGTGACTTTTGTAAACATGGTGATGTGGAAAGAGCATGGACTTTGGAGTCAGACAGACCTGAGATAAACTCCCGGCTTTGTCACTTAGTGGTTGTGTAATTTTGGGCTAGTTCATAACTTCTCTGGGCGTCTTCATCTATAAATTAGAAAGAGTAAATTGTACTTCACAGAACTGGTATGAAAATGAGATGAGGCAGCAAAAATGAAAGTGGACAATATAAACTCTGACACACTTTCCCTGCCGTTCCTTTCTCTGTCAGATTGTGGGTTTGCATGAGCATTTGGCCGTGTCTTATATTGATTTTTGTACTTTTCTATTGTTTCCAGTGCAGTGGTTTGTTTTCAGTGAGCATCCTGTAAGTACTGACTGACGGTAGTGCTCATATACAGAAATTGAACAATGGGTAAACAATTTTGTGTTTTTAAATTTAAAAATTTTCAGTTACAGTTGACATTCAATATTATACTAGTTTCAGGTGTATGCATAATGGTTATACATTTATATAACTTACAAAGTGATCACCTGATAAGTCTAATACCCACCTGACACCATACATAGTTACTACAATGTTATTGACTATGTTCCCTGTGCTGTACTTTACATTCCTGTGACTGCCAATTTGTACTTCTTAATCCTTTTACCTTTTTCAGCCAGCTCCTTTCCCTTTTATGTGTATTTTAATGTTTATTAATCTATTTACCCTGTCACAGAAAAACTGCCAAATATAGATAAATAAGATGTGGAGTCAGGGCTAAGAAATTAGACAGGTTGTTCCCTGCACCAGGCCACCAGCTACTGGGGCGAGTGAGGACTAGCCCTCAGCCCATCTGCTTGCAGAGGCCTTGAGAGCACTTTGTTTCAGTTTACTCAAAGCAGCCTTGTATGGATAAATCACAGCTTTTTCTCTTGACACTAGGGGTTCCTCTTATCAATGATTTTCTGTGTTTTCCTGCTTGTTGTGGCTCAGTTGGTTGAGCATCTTCTGGTACACCAAAGAAGGGTCATGGGTTTGATTCCAGCCAAGAAACATACCCAGGTTGTGGGTTCGATCCCCAGTTGGGGCATGTACTGGAGGTAACCAATTGATATTTCTCTCTTACATCAATGTTTCTCTCTCTGCCCCTCTTCCTTTCTCTGTCTTTAGAATCAATGAAGAATATATCCTCAGGTGGGGATTAAAAAAAAAAGATTTGCTGTGCTTGATTAAAATTTTTTCTTTTCACCTTTTAATTATGAAATACTTAAAATGTAAAGAAAATAATGTAACACTTGTTTACCCATAAATTAAGATTGCCATAATTGCATTAACTTTTTAAAATTTTTACTTAATTTCAGGGTTTTAAAAAAATTGAAAAAAAATATATTACAAAGAATTCCCATACACCCTTCACAGTTTCCCAAGTATCAATATTTTACCACATTGCAGCCCTGGCTGGGCAGCTGCATTGGTTAGAGCATCATCCTGATACACCAAGTTTGAAGGTTCGATCCCCCATCAGGGCACATACAAGAATCAACCAATAAATGCATAAATAAGTGGAACCACAAATTGATCTTTCCCTCTCTCCCCCTTCTTCTCTCTTCTCTAAAATCAATCAATAAAAAAAGTATTTTACCACATTTGCTTATCCTTGTCTCTCTGTACTACATATGCAGACTATTTTTTCTGGACCATGTAAGAGAATTTATTTCCTTCCTCCCTCCTTCCTTTCTCTCAAATAAAATATTTAAGTAAAAAATTTTAGACAAGTGTATTAAAAACTCCTTGTGATTGTGGATATATACATATTTGCATGTATTCTGCCAACTTGTGCTCCCTGGCATGGAAGTGAGAGATCCTGGTCAGTCGTCTGGACTCCACCCCCTGCTCCCTCCCATTGGTGAGGACTGTGCTTCATGGCACAGCAAAGGACTAGGACAGAAGTCAGGACGCTGACCGAGTGGAAAAGGCGTCATAGAGAAATGGAAGTTCATGAGTTCAGACACACCAAGAATCACGGCGGGTTGACTCCTTTTTGTAAGATTTGCCCTGCAACCTAATCATCGCTATGCTCTGGTATTCCTCCTCTCAAATGCCCTCTGCTCCCCCAACCGTAATTCCTCTGAAGTATAAGCCAACTTTTTGGATAACATCCACCAAATTCCTTTTTCCCAGTATTTCAAAACTAAATTTCAATATTCATTTGATACTTATGGGACTGAAAGGTTGGGAAGATATTTCTTAACTGATTCAATAAAAATTGAATATTAGCTGTGCAGTGGTAAACAGAATACACACATGGAGAAGAGTGGAAAAAATAGACACGAGACAAACCCAAATAAATTGTGAAAGTTGCTAAAAGAGGAAAGAACTATTTCTGTAAGGGAGAAAACAATGGGTGGGGGAGTGTGCTGTGAAGAAGTGATGGGGAGGGTGTTCCAAGAGGAGTGACCAGCTCAAGGAAGGTCATGGGCCAGGGCAGACCTTCAGGCCACTGAAGAACTGAAAGAAGCCAGTGAGGTGGGATCATAGTGGCCCAGAGGAGGCGGGAGAGACTGGGGCTACCTCACACAGGGCTGTATGAGCCGTGTTAGAGCTTTTTATTGGAAATGACTGGAGGTATGTTTCTAAATATAACTCCAGCTAGTAGGTGGAGAATGACTAGAGAAGATCAAGCATGGAAGCAGGGGTGCCATTCAGAGGAGCTCTGGCAAATGGAGGTTTGTGATGACTTCAGAGCATGTTCCCCTCTTGTCAAAGAGTTTACTGAAACCAACAGACTTAAACTAACTTCATCTGTAAAGAATTGTTTATACAGTTCATGCTGACCATAACAGGCTAGACTTCACAGGTCTAGAAGGTCTAGAGTTATAACAATAACCGCACCCCCAATTTAAATTTGAATATTTTGTAAAAAAAAAAAATTTCTAATTAAACTTCCATTAAAAAGAGTATAGCAAATTCCCATTACTTTGGAAATTACTCAATTACCCAATGACTGTTAAGTTTGCTGACATTTACTTTATCTGTCACTTTAATTCCTTTGCTGAAATATTGAAAAGCAAATCCCAAATATATAATTTTGTCCCTTCAAATAGTAAGGATCTATCTTTAAAAAATGAGCATTTTCTTACATACCACAAAACCGTATTCACAAAACTTATTGCTAACATCTAATACCAATTCTATAACCAAATTTCTTCATTACCTCAAAAATGTCTTTTTATTGTTGGTTTGTTCAAATCAGAATCTGAGTAAGATCCACACAGTGCTTTTCATTATTAGATCTTTTAGATCTCTTTTAACCCAGGGCACTG